GGAGCGGGACTTGGTGGTTGTGCTGGGCTCGAAAAGCCTTCCTTGCTAAATGCTGATGCTGAGGCTTATGAGAAGACTGAGCTTGGCGCAGCGCCAACCCGTTGACAATCAACTGTCGAACACACTACGCTAAGGAATCCCTAACGTACGACTGCTGGAGGGAGTTGGGTCGTACCAAAGGAAGAGCTTTTCAGGGGAATCATTTACTTACGAATTTTCCACAAAGCTTGCCCTGAATGTTGACCGGAGCAGGCTACTCCGGTCGTACATATGAACGGAGTAAAGCCTACCATTGTGACTTCTTCACTAAAGCTTTACTCCTTCTTCAGGAAGGATATACGAAAGAGCAAAGAAGGTATAGGAGCAGACTTGTCCCGCCCATGTGATAAGCGTGGACCAAGCTTTCAGTGGACCAACGCTCTTCATATTATCGGCACACTTTGTAATAGTCGTGGTCACTAGGCATTATTTGGATAATAATCATGACAAGTATTTAGTCTAGTGGACGATTTGGAGAATTTGGATGGATTTGGTGAACTGAGAACAACTTGGAGACTCACTGAACTACCAACTATCCTTACGTTTTGTCATGTTCCTGATCTTTTCCTTCCATGGACTGATGTCGATCGCCATGGACCCACAGCTCGGACTTCTCAGTAAGATTCTTCAGAATAAAGAGGTCACGATCGACCTGCCTATAGTTCTCAACGTCATCCGATGAAACAAGCAGTTGTACCTGAAGAATTCGCAAGTAAGTATGCTTAAAGCTTCGTCCTTACTGATCACATAGAATGAGTCGGAACATGTGTTCGTGTCAATCCAGTGGCGCACTCCTTCCTCGTTGTATTACGAGGAGGTGTGTGAGCGCGCTAATGAGGGAGGCATAATGACAGGCCCCGCCCCGCCCACACGACAGGCAGCGGGTCGTGCTTCAATCAGCAGCAGATAGAGTGCTGTACATAAGTGAACCAGCAACTCTTCGAATTTTCTTACCGTACCGTATACCGTAACGCAGGTTCCAAAGAAAGTAAGACAAAATAGAAGAAGGGATCGTCGTACCTGTTTCAGATCTTCCAGGAGCTCTTGGTACTGTGTAAAATGCCGAAAGAGAACCTTGAGGGCGATGCTGGTCAAAGGCGGATAATCGGACATGGTCATCTGAAAATACCCACGAGTCTTGACCAGAGCATATAACGCGTTAGGAATTTTGATTTTGGTCGAGTCCGGACCCCTCCCCAAAAAGGCTCGGCACGACCTCTGCCCCTTTCTACGGTTTACTGCATTTTGGCCTTTTATTCTGCATTTTCGTTCCGGTAAAATATGTGGAAAAAACCGATGCTAAGCCTTGAATTTGCCCTAGCTCCTTAGCCCCTTCCAGCACTCACGCCATTCGACTAAAGAATGAGGGTACGATTCGAAACCGAATCACTTCGTACGTTCACAAAACAACATTTCAGCTGCTTGTAAATGAAAGAACAGCATTGAAAGAAGTACAGTTTCTTTTTCCAAGTACCACTTCTGACTTCTTCTGAAGTCTCGGGGTTTACGAGATGAATGCGTTGGGTACTCGCGCGGAAAACCCGTTTCCTGTGTACCATTTCAAGTAGGCGTATTTTCGAGAACACTCAGGAGCGTGTATATGTAGAACGGATCCTTTCGTGGAGCAGAACTGAGCAATTCATGGTTTAGTGCCCATTAGCTTCGTCCCTGGATGCGCCGTGCATTAGGCTTCCCACGCAGAGGTGGTGGGATAGTGCAACTTCTATGCAGTGTCTGGCCACGCGAGCAGGTGTGTTCATATGGTGCAGAAAGGTCCACGGATTTGGTTAAGTTGTAACTGTAAATATTAGGTTGTCCGGAAAGTTCTCAGCGTTTTGAGTGTTTCACTTTAAACGATCATAACTTTCTTAATACTCATCGGATTTAATCGAAATAAGCACCGTTCGAATCAGCACACTTTTGCCAATGTGACACCAGTCGATAAATCCCATCAAAGGAAAAAACTGGGTGGTCGAGAATCCACGAAATCCACGAAGGCTTTTTTGCCTGGTCCTGATTGATGAAGTATTTTCCAGCAAGGAAGTTCTGAAATGTTGAAAAGGTGATAGTCGGTTGGTGAAAGGTCTGGAGAATATGGCGGGTGAGGTAGAACTTCAACCCTGGCGGAGAAGTAGAACTTCCACCCCCTCCCCAATTGTTCAATTTATGGATATGATTTGGTGAAACTTGATGACGGACTCGTTGTCATGCAAAAGAATCGGACCCTTTCTGTTGATGACGCAATTTTCGGTACATTTCGTCGATTTCTTCACAGTAGGACTCTGCTGTGATGGTTTGGCCTGGTGACAAAAAGTTATAGTGGATCACACCAGCCGATGACCACCACACTGTGACCATAATCTTTTTTTTTCGTGAGGATTCGGCTTTGGAAATTGCCTCGGTGGTTCGTCGGCATCCAACCACTGTCCGGAACGTCTCCTGTTATCATACATGACCATTTTTCATCACAGGTGACAATTCGGTCCAAAAACGGGTCGTTTCTGTTGCGCAAAAGCAGTGAAGAAGAAACCTCGAGACGTGCCAATTTCTGCCGGTCACTCAAATTGTGGGGCACCCACTTGTCGAGTTTTTTCACCTTCCCAATGCGTTTCAGACCATCCGCAACAGTGGATTTGCCAACGCCTAGCTCTTCTGCTATCTCTCGAACTGTTTGGGGGATGGGTCAGCCTCCAGAAACCCTTCGAAAACTCGCTCAATGCATTACTTTTCGAATCGATCCAGCTGACGAGGTTTCATATTCAAGAGGTAAAATCTTCAGAACGAAATTTGGCGAACCATTGTCGCACAGTGCTTTTCTCCAACACTATTGGGCCCCACACACTTGGTTTAATTTGTTCGATCTGTCTCAACTGCGGATTGACCCAATTTGTAGTTGGAGGAAAATATCGTCCGAAAGATTGCTGCTTGACATGCTTCAAAAAAGTCTCGTAAGAAGTGGGTTTATCAAGCAATATTGGAAAATGGCAAATATCTGCCATCAGATACCGCCAAAGAACTATATTCATCACGAATGTACTCACTGAGACGCAAGGGAAGAATTCGTTTTTAATCCAAGCCAATTGTACTAGCTACAAAAATAGTAACACAAAACGCTTGAGAACTTTCCGAAACAAACCTAATGTTTACGTACCTAAGAACTTGTGCCGATCACGTGATTAATTATTGTTATTTGATAATTTCGCATTTTTTCAACTGCTCTGACACTTTTGCGGCTTTCTGGTGCTGCCTGCCTCTCATTCCCCCCCCCCCTTCGCATTTAGACATGGGAATATTCGACGATCATGTGCCCTAGTCTTGAGAAACAGTGCAGCAATCAATGACGATAATTAACTCGCTCGGACTATATAAACCACGCGAAACTGTAAAAATCGGGAAAGTCAACAACTGAAAAAATTTTCCTCCCGCATGGAAAAATTTCTAATTAATTGCCAGACACGAGGTTGTGTTCGATAGATGCCAGAAAGAACGAGTATTGCTTCGAAACACTCAGGGTAGCGTGTTTAGGATAATCAGCTAAGGATGAGGTTACTCTCGTTTGAAAGATAGTAGCCACTACGACTTGTTACTGGAAAAAACCCCCTTCTGGCGGGCACATCAAGGGGTTCCAACACTCCACTTATCCCGGAGATAGAGAGAGCTGCACTGCTAGCGCTGACTTCACTCGAGCGCGGTGGATGGTACTTTTTTGTGGCAGCGTCCTGGCGCTCAGGACAATTTCTAAATATCTTCACCCTTCACACCAGACACGGATAGATTTGAACTCGTATGCGCGTTTTACGATATAACGCAACCAACGCGGCGTCATTGAGACCGTAGCCCTGCACCATCCTCTAAGAATATTGCGATTGTACTACATACCGACGACGTCAGCAGCAAGTTGAACGGTGATCTCATCGCCTCTCCGCCCACTGGCCGAATTTGTCACGGGACGCGGAAAGAAACGTGTAAAAGCATAATCTCTTGCCCGTGAGCACCCATCAGAAGCCTACTGCGTAGTTATTGCTTGAAAAATGAAAGCTTGAATACCTGCATAAGAATGGCTAACAGCAGTTGACCATCACCACCGTCTAAATGGAGCTCGTGGCCAGAAGATTGGTAAATGGCCTCGTAAAGCTCATGAGCCATGCGTTCATTAATGTCTAAAAAACATGATTGTAGTAGCGACTGGGAAAATAAGTGAGAAAACGATAGGACAGTTGCATTGGGAGCAGGTGGTCCAGTATAACTACACTGACATCGTCGCTGTCTGGGCCGTTCCTAGAGGGGTGGAAAGAGCCCACGGCATTTCCGCCATTGGTTGTTTTCTTTCTATATCGACCACCAACCGATCGCTATTGGTAGAAAAGGCAGCAGGGGACAGGCCCACTCCAACCCTCTTGACGCCGCCCTAACTGACTGTGACGATATCGTAGGATATAATACTTTTTAATTTACTATATGTGTAGAGAGTAAGTAATGTGAATGATTGATTTACTTACTTGCTGTATGTTTCAACACACCATCCTCGTCACATGGAAAATTGAGTTTGAACCATGACAGCGCCATTGTGATACGGTAGTCCCTCCGAACGTCCATCACAAACTTTAAATAGAAATATTCAACTGTGTATGATAAGTGAGGGATAACTCGAAGCGGACCTATACCTAGGTGCTGCCAAGTAGCGCTGGCATTAGGGGAGGGCCAGGCAGCAGCGAGACTGGGTCACGCGCGTTTTCTGTGCTCTAAGGTAGCGTTCACACTTCGCGACGACGCGCGTTATCGCGCTAGTGTTGCAATATCCCCCCGTACGAACTCGGACGCAGCCTAAGAATTGTACGGCTGACCGCGAGAGGGTATAGGAGAAGTAGGAGAGCACCAGACCGCAAGATAAGTAAATTAATAAATAAACAAACGTTGCTGTCTTAAAATTGTGCATTCCCGGAGCCTTCCTTGCAATTTAAATGTAAAAGGGCCAAAGATTTTATTGCAAAAAAAACTCAAAAGATTCAAAGGAATCCAAGAGTTTTCGCAAAATTTTTTTTTCAGTATTCAGTCAAAACTTCGAGGCGCGGCTCTCGCAAGAAGGCAGCGGAGGCAGATCTCGGTTGGAGGCAGCACACCAGTGGAGTCAGGGTCCAGATCTCGATTGGAGACACACCAGTGGAGCAGGGTCCAGGTTTCGATTGGAGGAAGCTAACTGTAATATTTCAGATCGCTGAAGAAGTTGCT